AGCCGATTCATATAGTCGACCTTAGCTAGTTCGGGATTGAAGTGTTGTTATTGTTGTTGTTGCTGCTGCTTTGTTTTCTTATTACTATTGCTGTTGTAATTTTTTTGTTGTTTTGTGGTTGAATTTTTATGTGGGACTTGGTGTTTTTCATTTGCAGGTTAATCTGAGGGCCTGGTTGCTGCATTTGAGTTCTTTTAAAGTAAATTGTGATAGTTGTTTCAGAGTTGTCATTTGCTCGACTGTTTATTTGTGGCGTCTCAAGTTTATTTCACGGAGGATTTTACTGATCTGAAATTTCTTGTTTTAGTTGCGGATTGGGCACTTCTGGGATCAAAATTGTATTGGTCCTGTGATTCTTTTTTGTGTATGATTATTTTGCCACGGATTGGGAGTTTTATATTTATTCTTGAGGAAGCTTTGATAGTGGTCTAACTCATGTTAATTAGGATTTAGAGGACGCAAGATGATACATACGGGAGATGTTACCTGATGGTAGGTTATAGCTTTCACAATTTTTGGAGATTCAGGTTGTAACAGTAATTAGCACTTATTGATCCTCTCAAAACTTGGGTTTAAGGCAGTTCTTGCGGAAACTTGTACATGAGAAGTCATTTGTTCACTAAACTATCAGTACTTTTCGGCCATAAACCGCCGCTGAGCTGGTTACTCTTGTGTCTTGTCAGTATATTTGTGCTAATAGCTTTGTTAGGATCAACTTCAAGTTCCTTTGACGCTGTGACCTCCTCTTTAACGCCTGACATCTATACGAGTTATAGAAAGTTAAAGGAGCAAGCGCGAAGCGATTATTTAGAGCTAAAGAGCCTTTCTCTGAGAGCCAATTGGATAAAGGACATTGGGTTTTGTGGCAAGGAAAGAGAGAACTATGTGCCTTGTTATAATGTATCTGCAAAGTTGTTAGCTGGATTGAAAGATGGGGAGGAGTTTGATCGAAACTGGGAGTTATCACGCGAACATCCACATTGTTTGGTTCGTCCTCCTAAGGACTTATAAGATTCCTCTGACGTGGCCAACAGGTAGGGATATCATATGGAGTGGAAATGTGAGGCTAACCAAAGATCAGTTCCTTTCTTCTGGAAGTATGGCAAAAAGGTATAATTAATTAAATGAACTTGGGATGATTTTTCTCTTTTTCTTTCCCTGAAGTAATCTTTGAAAGGTCAAATTGAGTATTTAACATGTTAGTTGGATGAAAGCCTATGTATTAAGTCTTCGACCTCCACTAGGTGATGCTGCGATAAAATTTTTGCCTGCTTTATAATAGGCTTTCTTTTTTCTTTTTCCAGACTAATGTTACTGGAAGAGAACCAAATTTCTTTCCACTCAGAGGCTGGTATGATGGTTGATAGTGTCAAAGATTACTCTCACCGTATTGCTGAGATGATTGGGCTTGAAAGTGATGCAGAATTTCTTCAAGCTGGTGTAAGTTAATCTTTGTTATTCTTTCCATAATATACTCTCGCTTTCCACTTTTCATTCGCTTGCTGGTTTCTCAAGAATCAACACATATGCTCCTAACATGCAAGTCCGCTTCATTATATTGGAACTAGGGTATGGAACCGTTCTTGCACTATTAGAATATAAGAATTTTGTTCTCGTCTGAATAACAGGTGCACACTGTACTAGATATTGGTTGCGGCTTTGGTAGCTTCGTTGCTCACCTACTCTCGCTGAAGTTGATGGCTTTTTGTGTGGCAGCATATGAATCATCTGGTAGCCAAGTACAGTTAGCACTTGAGAGAGGACTTCCGGCAGTCATAGGCAACTTTTTTTCGAAGCAGCTTCCATTTCCATCGTTGTCTTATGATATGGTTCATTGTGCTCAGTGTGGAATCATTTGGGATAGCAAAGGTATTGTTTATTTTGAGGAACTGTGGGTTGCCAGCTGTTTTCTCATAATCTTTATATGCATACTTATCTGAGCTGCAGGCTGCATAAGCATTAATTTATCTATCGTTTGTTTCATTAGGTACTTGCAATGTATATAATTGTGATTTTCTCTCCAGTTTGTTTTTGTAATTTATTCGCAAACGAGCATTCATCCTCTAATGTCTATTATACAATAAATCTCATATTATTGTTGAACCATCTCGTTCTTTTTTCTTTTTCAAATATAACAATTAACAAGTTGCGTTATACTACCTATATGGCTCCATTCTGTTTGGTGATCCTGCTGATTGTTATCATCCTTTTTTCAAAATTTTGCTATGAGCTTGATCCCTCTCCCTCCAAAGCAGAATTGCCAATTGCAGCTGCCCTGAAGGTAAGACCATCTCTTGGATGTGGGATGGTTAACCTTTATTACTAGGTTGGAGCTTAAATAGATCTTCCCTTTTAGGAACACCTTCACCATTCCTAATATAGGAATGCACTGCAGGGTGGTGCTTGTTAAATTTTGTTTTCTATTTTTCCTATTAAGGAAAAAGATAAGACTGGTTGTTTCTTTTTGGATCCCTCAACAACTGTCAATTTTTTATACCTGAGCTTCTGTTAAATCATGAACATGAATTCAATAGCATGAAACTAATAGTGATTTGACAAAACAGATGGACTATTTTTAGTTGAAATAGACCGTGTACTCAAGCCTGGAGGTTACTTTGTTTTAACCTCACCCACAACCCGGCAGCAGCAGGGTAGTTCCACTAGTGCAAAGACGGGAAGCATGTCTATTCCATTGGAAGAGTTGACTAAAAAGCTTTGTTGGTCTCTTTTGGGACAGCAAGAAGAGACTTTCATCTGGCAGAAGACAGTAAATTCTCACTGCTATATAGCTAGGTAAGGCCAATGAGAGCACTAACCTGAGGAGTTCATGTACTCCTCCCTCTAAATTCTGTTCATAGCTTCACTGAAGCTATTTTTTGTTTCAATTTATTTTAACTAAAAAACGTCAATGTGAAGAATAGTAATCTAGATGAAAAGGCACTATCCATTTCAGAGCTTGAATCAGTAAACAAAATACCGATTAGAATATATGATCTTAGGAAAAAATGTTTTTTCTTCCCAACCCCTGCCAGTCTTTTTTGCAAAGCAGATACAAAGAATTTTCCTATAAACAAACTTGTTCTAATCGTACTTGATATGTGCTTTGATAACTTTGAAATGATTCACAGATCTGCAGTCGTAAATTAATCATCATATGTCCTCCCACTCCCCCTCCACCCAAACCCAAAAAAAAAAAAAAAAAAAAAAAAAAAAAAAAAAAAAAAGTAAAAATAAGAAATCTTCTTGTGCTGAAACTATCATATACTTGTCTTCCGTTTTCGTTCTCCTTTTTTTGAAGATATAGTTATACCTTTTCATTATTTCTTCCTCTTAACCTCCAATAGTGATCTTTTACATTTTGGTGTAGCAAGCAGTTTGACATACCTATTTGTAAAGAAGGGGACATGCAATTATACTACCAACCGCTTGCACGGTGTATATCTGGGACAGGCAGTAACCGGTGGATTCCAATTCACGGAAGATCTGGTCCTCTGAACTCAACTGATATTGAAATTCATGGCAAGTATTTTATTTCTGGTTAAAATGGATTTTGTGGCTTTTTCATTCATTCTCCAACTTTCGGCTATTTGTACACTTCATTCTAGCAATCATTCATTGCCTGTGTTTTGCTCTTGGACAGGAGTCCATCCTGATGATTTCTTTGAGGATTCAGAATTCTGGAAATCAGCTTTGAGAAATTATTGGTCTTTGCTGTCACCCTTGATATTCTCTGATCATCCAAAGAGGCCAGGTGAAGAGGATCCATTGCCTCCATATAATATTGTGCAGAATGTCGTGGACATGAATGCACATTATGGGGGTTTAAGTGCTGCGTTGTTGGAGGCAAGTAAATCAGTATGGGTGATGAATGTTGTGCCGCGTAATACACTTCCTCTCATACTTGATCGAGGTTTTGCTGGTATTCTGCATGACTGGTAAAGCCATTATCTTTTATATTTTTAAGACTTGCAAAGACATATATGCAATAATTCTACCAAAATAGGCAATATGGATATTTCCTCTACTTTTTCTTAATTGGTAGTGAAATATTCTGGTGTATTTTCTTATCAATCAGCTTTTCAGTCAGATTGTTATAGTGGAAGAAAATTATGGCACATTCGCCAAATGAATAACAATGATATATTTTTTGTAATGCTTGTGTTTGCAAATCACATACATAATATGTAGAATATTTAAGTGGGTTTAACGATGCTGTAATATAACCCCTATTCCAAAATTCTTGTTCTTTTACATATCGTGATTTTTTCTTGTTCAAGTTGCATGAATTATTATATTTTCAGTTTGCTTACATTTTCATCCTTTGAATTGATGATTGATGGCATTATAAATCCGCAATAAGATTTAGTAACTAAAATGGGAGGTCAAGACGATAGATGTTAGGAAGAAGTTTTGTTATCTCAATCTTATTACCCTTAACCAGTGAGAAGGGTTGTAAAACCATCTCATAATCTTGGTACTTCATGTGATTTAAAATCTTTTGGCATCTGTAGAATACTGATTTCACAATTATGATTGCAGTTATTTCTCAAAAAAAAAAAAAAAATTTATGGTTGCAGTATTTTCTAAAGCTTGAATGTTCTACTCCAGAAAAGCCATCAGTTATGTTGCATGTGTGAAGATAAACTTATAGACAAACGGAAGAGCCAGAGAAATTTAAGGCTTGTACTTGTTCTATTCAAAAGAATATTATTGTTGATACTTGTTTCTTGCTTTTCCCTTAATTTTTCATGCATTAATACAGCTTAGTAGCTTGTTTTTATACAGTAATACTGAAGACATTTAGTAATGGAATGAAACAGGCCTGAACAGAGCAGAATGGATGTAGAGGATTTATATAGGCGACATCTATTAAATTAAGCTTAGTTGATTGAGTGACCATGAACTCAGCAATTTCTTTTTAAGTTAATGCTTGAAGGATTCTGGTAACGTACTGATAACAGTGCTTTCAAAATTGGGCAGGTGCGAACCGTTTCCTACATATCCACTAACATATGATCTGCTCCATGCGAATGGGCTCCTTTCGCACATTGCTTCACAAGGTTGCAGTATGCTTGAACTACTTCTTGAGATGGATCGTATTCTGCGATCTGAGGTAATATTGTATTTTCTCTCTGTGCTGTGCTCTTTAAAAATCATCCAGCTTACTCTTCCTTTGCGCTGACCTTGTCAATCTCGGTTACACTTTCTTTTTCCTGCTCTAGTTGACTCAACACCTGAAGGTGTTACTCGTCATGTTTCATGATTCCTTGCAGTTTGTACAGGTTTTGACATTTAAATATGAATTCTTGATAGGGTTGGGTTATTCTTTCTGACACATTAGGCCTCATAGAGAAAGCACGCATGTTAGCCACACAAATCCACTGGGAAGCTAGGGTGATTGACCTCCAGAATGGAAGCGACCAACGGCTACTTGTATGCCAAAAACCATTCACGAGAAAGTGATTTTTCTGGAAATTAACACTTCCGCCAATCCTACGATTGTCCAGTCTTCATCAAAATCATTGTCCATTCCTTTTTAACACGGGCGACTCTCCAAAAATCCACCAGAAACGAGGAATACACGTGACATGTTGAAGTGTGAAAGAAGTTTCCATTGTGATATGTCTGTTATGAAGTGGAATTTATTTGATCTTACCAGGCCACAAGCTGCCTAAAGAGCTCTGAATCTCGGCGTTCTTTCAAATAGATCATATGTCAGCCTGCAGAGATACAAATACAATTTATTTAGGACCGTAGATTAGAAAAAAGATGTGCAGAGTTAAATGTTAGTTGTATAGAGTTAGTTAACTTTAATTTAACGTCTCTCAAAGAAAATATTTGAAAGACAATAAACGTACATACGACTAGGAAAAACCAGTACGTATTACATATGACATGTTTAAATGGACAGTTAGCCAGACTCCAATTTGTTTGTGAGTGAGGCTTACTTGTTGTATAGACGATGAGTGAGATCGAAGATAGAATCCAGATGTGATCCGTAGGCTACGTGAGTAAAAGTGTATGTTAAATCCCGAATTTGGCGTAGTAACAACTGAACGGTAGAGATATAGTCATCTTCCCACAACTCTCTCCATGTTGTAACTGTCGTCCTTCTTATTATCCATCCCCTTCCCTTTTCTGTGTTGACGTCCCTTCTTCATTCCCCCATCCCGGCCCCTCTCCGTGTGTTCTATACCAAGGAGAAAGAAGAATTGTGATTGGAACTATTAATCTTTCTTGGCATTAGCCGTTTACAACAACATCAACATCCTTTATCTTGTTTTGCTTGAAGAAACATGTCGAAGGAAAAGGAAAGAGAAACCCATGTTTACACGGCTAAGCTCGCTGAACAAGCTGAACGTTATGATGGTTAAATTCATTTCTTTGCCTTTCTTCATTAATTTAGCATTCATATCCGAAGCCCCTGGCCTGTCTAATCCTTTGATTTTCTATACCTGCATCAAGAATGTATCTACGAGCATGCATTTGTATTGGTAACTTATTATATGTTCATGTATCATTTTTCTTTGATTTAATTTCATTAAATTATGGAATCACCGTGCTTGTTTTTTTACATGAATAACATCATATACATATACTCAATTTTCCTCCCTTTCTCCTCTTTCTTTGTTTGTGCTTCTACTTGTGTCCAAATAGAGAATGGACACGACTCTCCCTCTTGCTAATCCAAATTGGCAAGCTGTTCTTAGTACTGGGGAAATCTTTATGTACTCCTATAATGCAGCTTTTTTCTACTATAATGAATTTGTGCTTGTTTATAGGTCAAAACATATTGATCCATACTGCGTTTCAAAGCTATCTAATCCAGTTATAAGTCTAGAAGATGTTAAACACGTAAGCAAAGTGCCAATCTTTATGCAATTTAGGCTCTTCTGATAATAGAAATTAAAAGAACTAACATTTGACCCCTTTTCCTGGTAAAAGTCTTCCACTCGAGAATTCGATTTATCATCAACTTGGATTTGCAATTAGAACATATTGATCTTAGTTCATTAAGGGCTTGATAGTAAAATCCTGATCTGTCGATTGGTTCTTTTATTGGGTTGAAGGGCATATTTGTTGCCTGGTTCAGAGGTGCATCTAGGCGAGATCTATGGGTTCAATTGAATCCCTTGCTTTCTACTTAAAATTTATATACATAGGCAAATTAAAAAAAAAAAGAAGTTAAAATGTATACATTTAATAAGATCACATTCATTCTGAACCTGCTAACTTCCTCGATTCGCCTTTGGCCTAGGCAGGTTTGGTGTTTGAGAATGCAAAACCACAAATTTGACTTTGAATCATCTAATGGGAATCAGATATAAGTGTGTTTGCACTATTGTTCTGTTTGGTAACTTCAGATTCATATTGCTTCTCAGAAATGGTTGAGAGTATGAAGAAAGTTGCAAAACTCGATGCTGAACCGACTGTGGAGGAAAGGAACTTGCTTTCTGTTGGTTACAAGAATGTTATTGGAGCTCGAAGGGCTTCTTGGCGTATTATGTCCTCCATTGAGCGGAAAGAGGAGTCGAAAGGGAATGAGAACAATGTGAAGCTGATTAAGGGATATCGTCACAAGGTAGAAGAGGAGCTGTCCAAGATTTGTCATGATATACTAGAAATCATAGACAAACATCTAATCCCATCTTCTGGCACCGGAGAAGCTACTGTCTTTTATTACAAAATGTAAGGCAAATGTTTAACAATCCATTCTAACTGTTTTAATCAAAATGATTCATACAAGCTTATGATCCAGTTCTGAGGTTCTTCATGATATCTGCATTTATTAAAAACCATGTTTTATAATCTGTGTATAACTTCTTTTCGGTATCCTTTTCAGGAAAGGTGATTATTATCGTTACCTTGCTGAGTTCAAGACTGATCAGGAAAGGAAAGAGGCTGCTGAACAATCATTGAAGGGCTACGAGGCAAGTTATTCTAATTTGAGTTTAAGTTCTATGCACTGACGGTTTAAAACATATTTACATAATCACATCACTTATAAGATAATTACAGGTAAATCTCTATATAGTATTAATTGGTAACCATAATAGGTTAAACTACACTGGTTGTTTTAGAATTCTTTACAACGTCAATGTATATAACTTAAATTTTTTTAATTATGTCAATTGATGCACATTAAATTGGGTACATTTGAGAGTTCTCTTGTTTTGTATTCTTCAGGCTGCTACGGCCACTGCAAACTCTGATCTCTCTTCAACACATCCAATCAGGCTTGGTCTTGCTTTGAACTTCTCTGTGTTCTACTATGAGATCATGAACTCTCCAGAAAGGTACCTCCCTCTGTTTCAATTTAGACTTTCCTTATTAGTCTGTTCCAAAAAGAATTCTACAATTGAAAATAAATCAACTTAAAACTCTATTTTACCCTTGATGAGAAAATTTTATAACCATACAAATGTAATGACCCCACAAAGATTTTAAGACTACAAGTTTCAAAAATTTCTTTTTTTTTTCTTAAATTCCGTGTCGAGTCAAACTAACTCATCTAAATTGAAACGGAGGGAGTACAATTTTTGACCACTGAATATCTCTGGATATGTTTCTTGTTCTCTTGATGATGTGAACTGACAATTCAAATTTCCAGGGCATGTCACTTGGCTAAACAAGCTTTTGATGAGGCAATAGCGGAGTTGGACACTCTAAGTGAAGAATCATACAAGGACAGTACCTTAATCATGCAGCTGTTGAGAGACAACCTCTGATTTGCCCGAAGATGGAGGTAACAATTATCTAAATGTCTGTTTTAGGATTATGGCAATCTATTGTAGCTGTAGTTGAGGAGAACTCAAATTGATAGATTTGTTAAATGTCTTTCTCAACTTTACTTTACACCTTTGATTTCTCTGTACTGAAGGAACCAGAAGAACTCTCTGAATTCTACTTTCCCTTATGCGCTGGAAAAATAGCTATGAAAAATAAATGAATATAAAGATTCCTGGAAACTAGATTGAATGTTACTGTTTTTGCAGCTGAAGAGAATTCGAAAGCAGCAGAACCTCCTCAAAAAGCAGCAGAACCGCCTCAAAAAACAGAAGATTGGCCTCAAGTGAGTCTTTAACTTGATCTAAAGCCAACTTTAGAATCATCATCAATTTACACTTGCTAAAATTGACTTTTGTTCGTTGACAGCATTAATGGAGTCTCAAGGAGAGACATGACAGGCAGTATGCTTGAGAAATTCCCTCAGCTATCTTAGAGACTATAGCGCGTGCATGATTTTGCAATGCCCCTACCAGAAGAAGATGCATTTATTAATTTGATTGAGACATTTTCATTTCCTTCCATTTTTTCCTTTATTTATCTTCTTTGGTGGAAAGTGTTATTCAACTTGATCTTTTTCAAATGAGTCTTAGTCTTTTCTTAGATCCTGGATTTTGTTCAGGGACAGGCCAATCTCTTGAGATTATGAGTTAATTTCATTTGAAGGACAAAAAAGGAGGATTTGCTGAAAGATTTTGATCCAATCCCTCCGTATTATTACTTACTGTAATTGGATAAAGTTAATGATAATGAAGAACAAAATTGATGCTAAAACGTTATTCCATTTGAGTAGTCATCCTTCGATGATAATGCTATAGCTGGATAATGTGCTCTATGGTTGGAGATGTATTAGAGTGGATGAGACGAGAGACAGCTATCATGCATGTCATGGTTCCTGCAAAAAAGTTTGTTTACGGTGAAAGTACAAGAAGGGTGAATTGTAACTAATTTTAAAACTTATTTGACTTAGAAGAGATTTAGTCGACTAATCAGCAGGTTTGATTGACGATGAAAATAAATTGCAAGGAATTTAAAGGCTGAGAACACAAGAGTGTTATACCGGTTCAGTACCGGTGTGGTACCTACATCCAGTTCCCTTGGGTCACAGGGGTTCTTTTAGATCTTCAATGGTTTGTTACAGTAGCAGTGATTTTATGGATCGTTTACCACCAACGATCTTCAGCAACAATGTTTTATAAACTTGACATAACTTTTGTTTTGCTTCCTAACACTTTCTATCTTTTGAGACACTAGTAAACTTAGGAATACAGTGTTTGTGCTAAGAACTAGGAAGACATAGAAAACAATGGTAAGTTGCATAGTTGAATTCTTGAGTCTACCAGTCTTCTTATACGAGAGTCTTGAGTAGCCATTTCAGATTGACCTTTGATTGAGGCACAAAATATTCTAAGCGTTTTTACCCAAGGGGTGCCTCCGAATCCTGCTCAAGAGATGGGTTGGATTCATTTTCGTCCTTCCTTTTCGTATTCATAATTAGGGGAATGATTTGTGGCTTGACTTGATCGATCAATCTTCAGAATCTCCAGATTCCAAATCAATCCTTGAAGTAGGGACTGTCTTCCTATTGCAATTGCACTTGATCTTGTTTCCTTTTTGATGGCCTTGACATCCTTTGATTTAGCATTGTCCTTGCTGAATTTGATCTTGTTTCCTTTGTGATATCCTTAACATATTGACTTTCTTTGATTTAGTACTGCCCTCCTAATTTCCTGCAATTAAATAGATACAGTTAGATTTGCATTATTGTCATCATTGAAACTTAGGTGTAACAATCTCCCCTTTTTTGATGATGACAATCAAAAAGAGTAAACAAAGTATAATTCCCTTTCATATTTTCATATCTTAAAATGCGTGCTCCTCCTGAGTTGTTACCATGTACTGAAGTGTTGTTCCCCCTGAGTTGTTGCTCTGTTTTACTCATCACGTTTATTCCCCTTTGACATTAATTAAAAAGAAAGAAGCAAGTGCAGATAGAACAAACATAACAGAGTAGATACTGAACATAGTAGTTAGGGTAGCAGATGTTATGCCTTCAGCAGAGGCACATGGTGATGGTTCTTACAGACCAAAGAAAAAGTAATTAACAAAACAAAAATAAACAAAGATCAAAAAGATTGTTTTAAACACACACATACAACTGCCTTAGTTCCTCCCCAGAAAGTATTTCAAGGTATTGATCACTTTGGTGCAGAAGAAGTCATAGGAGGTTTCAACTTCTTTGGTGATTTTGCCCATCTTCTCTGTCATGGAGTTGAATGCCCTTATTCCTTGCCTCCTTGTGGCTCCCATGTCCATCCTGAGTTTAGCCACATCTGTACCTGTTTCTTTGGTGACTTTCCTGATCTTGTCCACATATTCTTTCATTGCAATGAGCATGATTTTTACCCCATCTAGACTTTGTTGAATCTGCTGTAGGTTGTTGGTAGCAGTCGACTGAGGCACAGTTGGTTCAGTGGTTGGCTCAACCTGTACTGGAGTGCTTTCAACCTTGGCACGTCTGACCCATCCATCGTCACTTAAGGTGTAACCCATCATAGCAAAGGCTGTATTATCATAAGTGTTTGTAACGTACTTAGGGGTGAAAGGTGTCAAATTAACCTTTATGACCTCAAGAATATATAAGATGAGCAAGCCATAGGGTAAACAAGCAGCAGAAGAGGATATATCCCTGATACTTTCAAGCATATATTAACGAATCCACACAAACCAGTCAAGCCTTTTATTGTTCACAAGACAATAAAGAACAAAGATATCCATAGTAGTCAAAGTGTTGAGAGACCGAGTCCTAGGAAGTAGAGTAGTAAAAATCATGTGGGCTAATACGCGGTGTTCAAACTTAAGACTTTTAGGACCAATGTCAGGAGGGTTTTCAGACAGAAACATTTTTGTCTCTTCTAAAGAAACTTCAAAGTCTTTAGGCCAGGAGTTTTGCACAAAAACATCATAACCATAAAACTTAGAAGAAAAGATCTTTTCAAATTGAGAGGAATCAAGAACAATCCGAGTGCCTAGAACTATTGACTCCAAGTTATCTTTGTCATTAACAAACATATTTGCATAAAACATCCTCACAGGTTCTTCATACACAGAATTTCCAACAGTATCAAACAGAGGAGAAAGACGTTGAAAATCAAAGTTAGAAATCACATCACAGTGCAAAGTTTTCATAAGAGAGAGACTTACAGAGCGTCCATAAGCCATAGATTTATACTTATAAGACTCAAACCTCGATTTCTCACTTGGTCCATAGAAGTTCAGTTTATCCTCTGGCCCAAAATCTATGCTTTTCATTTTTCCTTTCTTGCATGCAGGCCTTTTGGGTGTTTTCTCCATAGGTCTTTTTCCTGCCTTTTTCTAGCTAATGGGTATATCCTCCGATGATTCACTACTTTTATTATCGATTTTGAGGAGGTCTGAATCAAGGGATGATTCAAGATCGACGGCGTCTTCATGGTTTTAGTTTTTTTGAAATCTTCTGCTTCGTCTTGTGGCAGTGAAGGATGACAGGTTTCTCTTAGCCATGGTAGAAAGGTTGGTGAGAAGTGATGGATAATGAGAGGAGGGTAATTAACTAGGCTTTTGGAAGATTGAAGAGTTGCATCGGTTGGAGGAAAGGGCAGGTTTAGATTTAAGTGACATGTCTGAGAAGTTGCTTCGACGACACCAATGGAAGAGTAATAATAGAACTCACATCAAATTAATACACTCATCAATTAAGCAAACTAAAAAAGGAAGTAAAATATTTTATAAAGATACGGAAGATTTTTACGTAATAGACAAAATAACAATCTTTTTATGCAGTAGACAGAATCTTTCTTCCAAAAGAGGTTTTGTAAAAATATCAGCAAGTTGGGACTGAGTACTAATAAACTCTAGCAAAATATCACCTTTTGTAACATGATCACGAATAAAATGATGCTTAATTTCTATATGTTTTGCCCTAGAATGATGCACAGAATTTTTTGACAGAATATAACACTTGTATTATCATAGAAAATAGGAGTAGAAGTGAGAGATAAATCATAATCGAGAACTTGATGCATGATCCAAAGAATTTGTGTACAGCATCTTCCAACAACTAAATACTCTGCTTCAGTAGTTGACAAGGGAACACGATTCTGTTTCTTACTATGCCAGGAAATTAGAGCATTCCCCAGTAATTGTCATGTACCACTAGTACTTTTCCTGTCAGTCCTATCACCTGCAAAATCTGCATCTGAAAAACCTTTTAAATCAAAATTGTTGGAATGAGAATACCATAATCCTAATTCAGTGGTCCCAATGAGATATCTAATAATGCGTTTTACTACAGTCAGATGAGATTCCTTTGGAGCCGACTGAAATCTTGCACATTTACAAACACTGAACATTATATCTGGTCGACTAGCCGTGAGATATAGTAGAGATCCAATCATTCCTCTATACATTGTTTCATCCAAACTTTTTCCATTTCTGTCCTCTTCAAGCGTAGTTGTTGGACTCATTGGAGTTCCAATAGGATTTGTATTCTCCATTCCAAACTTTTTTATGAGTTCCTTGGTGTATTTGGTTTAGCTAATAAAAATCCCTTTGGGAGATTGCTTGATTTCTAAACCAAGAAAGAAGGTTAGCTCTCCCGTCATGCTCATTTCGAATTTTCCTTTCATGATATGAGCAAATTCTTCACATAATACGGAGTTAGAGCTCCCAAAATAATATCGTCTACATAAATTTGAGTAATAAGATTATCTGAATTTGAACTCTTAATAAAAAGAGTTGTGTCGATATTACCTCGTTTGAAACCTTGATTTAGAAGAAAAGAGCTTAATCTTTCATACCAGGCTCGAGGGGCTTGCTTGAGTCCGTATAAAGCTTTTGACAGCTTGAATACATGATTTGGGAAGCTGTTGCTTACAAAGCCAAAAGGTTGTTTCACGTATACTTCTTCAGAGATATATCCATTTAGGAAGGCGCTTTATACATCCATTTGAAATAGCCTGAATCCTTTATGAGCAGCAAAAGCAAGTAGCATTCGAATGGATTCTAATCTTGCTACAGGAGCAAGTGTTTCATCGTAGTCGATTCCTTCTTGCTGAGAGTAACCTTGGGCAACTAGCCTTGCTTTGTTACGAACTACTTGACCAGATTCATTCAGCTTATTTTTGAAAACCCATTTAGTTCCTACGATGGAAGCATTTGATGGTTTTGGAACCAAGTCTCACACTTTATTTCTTTCAAATTGATCAAGTTCATCTTTCATGAATTTGACCCAGTAGTCATCTTTGCGGACTTCATCAACCTTTTTTGGCTCAAGTTGTGATATTAAGTCCACGTGAGAGTTGAGCTTTTGAGATATTCTGGTAATGATACCTTCTTGTGGATTTCCAATGATGAACTTGTGGGGATATCCAGGTTCACTTTTCCATTCATTTGGAACACCTGTGACTGGATCCTTTTCCACATTAGTTGACTGTTCAGCAGACGATGGTTCCTAGACTTCAATGTGCTCCTCAGTTGACTGAAATTGCGAATTTGTCGCCTGATCATGAATGTCTTTTCCTGTAATAACAGATTTTGGGATAATAGATATTTTCTCAACTTTAGGAGATTTTTCATTCCTTAAGCGAGGGCTAGTATCCACAAAAATAACATGAATGGATTGCTCAATACATAAAGTTCTTTTATTGAATACTCTATATGCTCTACTTGAGGGAGAATATCCAAAAAAAATACCTTCGTCACTTTTTGGATCAAACTTACCCAAATTGTCTTTT